GCGAAAACTTAGCTATCTGTCTTTGCCATAAAATTCAAGCTCTTCATTACTTGTCGAATTAATTTACTAATCCATGGAAAGTAATAAAACGTTATTTTGAAATACTTTACAATACAGCTAACCCTTCCAACGCGTCATACACAAAACTAGACGTTCTCTAAGACTCTTTTGTGGGTCAATATTTACTATCAGACAAGTTTTCCGGTGTATAACTCTTTGACCATCAACATATTTTAGCCTCATGCACGTGGAGTAGGGAGGGGTTTAGGTCTGATTTGTAGGCTTATTTGCAAAGATGTATAGACAAAGGCGAATATCCGGCGCTATTCTAAAAAAACAGTTTGTCATAACCAAATCTACCGAAATCATCTTCCTCTGTAAAGACGTATATCAAACCAAAACTTTGATGCACATTGACAAACGTCACCGAACAAAAGAGTAAAATCCAGTCAGTACATTTAATTCACTAGACAGACAATCTTATCCGAAAAAGCATCTTGTAGAATTTGGAACTACTACTGTACGCTATTGCAATCAATATGTAACTAAAAGGCCGACAACTAGACGCCTAATTTCGAATGAGCACAAAACTCAATTACCTGATATTCTGAGAGCTAAACACCTGGTTATCAGTCAACCAGATAAGTGTTTTGGTTTAATGGTAATTGATTGTCTAGAATACATCCCAAATATTTTTTCGTGCTATCAGATAACCAAGTTTTATAAAGACACTACTTAGAATATACAACTAAACAGATTGAATAAAGGTTGACAAAAGTCAATAGTTACGATCCCTTTAAACAACTTAAAACATCTCCGTCGGTTATCCCAAGCCAATGTGGAACAGTTAGTGCAGTACCTTGTAAAGTTGGTTTTCATTAAGCAGTAAAAGGGAATTGATTCATTCTACAATCTAGAAACCCAGAAGTACTAGCACCGACGGCAAAGTGTACGTCAAACTAATACAATTACCAATACTGGTAATGTAAGTAGATTCACCAACAGAAACCTTAAGATGAAATATTAACATGAAAAAATGCCTACAGTGAGATACATCCTCTTCAAAAGGATTGAATTTAAAATAGATACTGAAGAAGGGATTCTAAAAAGCATATTTTCGGAATCCTTGTGAGAAACATCATACCAGCTTGAACTTTGTGTTATATTCTGCAGTCAGTCTATGATTCGAGGTTTTTTGAGAGCCACTGTAAATCTCTAGGCTTAATTACTCTTATGGAGGACGTTAATTTAGCTACAAAAAGGAAAGTCTTTTGAAGAGGGTCTCCAAAAATAATTTTGCCCAGGTGTTAAAATATCAGCCAAGTCAATCAATAACTCAACACTGAAGTACTTCTCAGATCTTGTTCACGTTTCTTCACCAGAATTCTTCTTTGGAGTCATTCATAAAGTCAAAAGTCGTTGAAATGGGAGATGACTTGGAAAGGCAGGATGTTTAATATCTCATTTCATCGTGGTTTTAAGGCTCCTTCTACCTTCAATAGTCTATTACTCCTTCCTTTATTTTTTGTATAATTTACAACTACCTATTATCACGAAAACGGAGTACGCTAATCTTAATACTCACCAAATGAGAATTCATTTCCCTTATATAAAGTGTCTTCACCTAAGCGACGTTTGGTTACCTATTAGGTCATTATACAAATGACTCTACTTTTGATATTTCTAAATAATTGAACGTAATTTCACCATATATTTACGGTTTTTGATATTCCAGTTAACAAATATCTTCCATCTTTAATCTATTTTAACCACGGTCTATAATCCAATTTTTAGATACTGGAAGACACATTTGACCACCTTTTAAACGGCTCAATATTCGTCTGTTTTATTACAGATTTATAGGTTCTGATTAATTATAGGTGCAGTGGTAAAACTAGCAAGTGACGTCATTGAGATGAGAAAAATCCTTTCTTACTGAATCGTCTTTTTCAGTAGAACGATGGGTTTGTTTCGTTATAAGTGATAATTATTAGACCAAAGAGCTGGAAGCATGTAAGAAAAAAGCCCCTGTTACTGAAAGTATTGATTAATGATCAAGCATGCTGTTAAAAACATCTTCCAGGTTGTTTCAATTATATATATATATATGAACCCAAGTGCTTATATTTGTATGAAAGTCCTTAATACACTACTGAATTTCGGCAGATGAAATCTGTATGGAATGTTACTTCCGTTGAATTTATGTTCGGGAAAACCCAGTACAACGGTTAATAATATTTTTGTAGAGACAGCTGGATTCGAACACACTCAATGAAGATTAAAAACCTGCACCTCAACTTACTACACACCACAGCATTTAGTGAAAGACTGCGGAATAAAACAAACTGATTTATAAGTACTAGCCAACACAGTGACCAGTAGAACAATTAAATAACCACTATGTTACATTATAAGGCGCTTTATTTGTGACTGGTACTTCTAAAGCTTATTTCAGCGTTGGTACTCGTGAATAAAATCTTTATCGCATATCAAGGAAATTTAGTTGTCATTATGTTATAGTGAGACGGGTATTTGAAGATTTAGGAGCTTTGAAACAATCCTACAGATCAATAATAAACATATTTCCATGGTATCCCAATGAGTAAAAACTTGCGTCTCTGACGTCCGTTGACTTAATATAAGTCATGAAACGTCAGAAATGCAACTTTCTACTCATTGGGATACCACGAAAATACATTTATTACTAACCTTCTACCCAATTCCCACCCTACTTGAAACCGTCAAGTCCAACCTTAGCATCGTTACACACAAACTCATATCCTACAAATTATTATCTTTCAGCTTGTATAGTAAAGTAACTGTATTGGTATATTCTTATATTCTACTTATTATAAGCTTAGAATGGACTTATTAAATATTTTTGAACGTTTTATTACTTCTCAGTCATTGCTAGGTAACTATGTACTGTTTCCTTCACTTTCTGCTAATTATGACGTGATTATATGCGCGATTCCCTGTTCGGTGTGCTATGTGGTCTAAAAATCAGTGTGTATAATCTCATGAATATATGGAATGGCTGCTATGCTGGGTGATCAAAATTTACAGATAGACCGTCAGGAGCAGTTTGGATTAGGCTAGCTCAGAGTTTTTGGTTTGGTCAGAATGAATCATTGCTGAAGGTTAAGGACGATAGGCTACTGTTGAAATGGGAGATATGGGTTAAAAACTCACAACCAGAATTCTGACTGGCAAATTTAGCATGTTATATTCATTCTCATCTGAAGACGACGAATCTCATGGTATGGCTGATAATCTACTTAGAAATCTAATAATTACGACATCCAACACTTAATCTTGAATATAAGTGCTTCTCACTAATCGCATTTTCACCATTGAACAACAGCACTGACCAGGAGCTGAAAATAGTCACTGTATCAGACATTTATTGACCGCACGATCGTCCAGTGCTTAATCGGAGTTAGCGAACAGAAGAGACTGATTAGGTTTCACAGCTTGCTGTAGATGTATTGAATTAATGCCATACTGTATTAATGAAAAAACATATTCTTGGTCTACATTTCTATAGGTTGACTCCCTAAATGGTCAGAGAAGTGATGAAAAGTACAGGCTACCTGATGTAGATCCGTACGATAACCCCAACCAGGGGTTAAAGAGGTAGAGTGATATGGCTCGAAATCCGCCACAGTGAATTACATGAACTCACTGGTCACCTTCGCTAATTACTGGGCTTTAGTGTCAATTCATAATATTTATTCATTAGACCCACTCCCTATTTTCGGAGCTTATTATTTAATCGTTAGTTTTCTTAGCGATCAGTGGTACTACTATTATTTCTCATTCCTCATATATAATGGTTGCTGGGGCTAGATTATATATATTCTACGTTGGTTATAAATGACTGAGCAAAGGATAAGTGTATTGAGTAACACTCAGCTTAGTTTTATTATATGACTGTAAAACATTGTCTTTAAAGGCAAGACATGGGCGTAGGCTACTAGTAGTTAGTCATAGATGCCTTAAGGAGATTCCCCATGTTTAGTAGAGCTCAGATCAGATGTAGAGCAGTATATAAAAATCCCAAATTGGTTGTGAATCTTTGTCGATTAGGCTGGATGACACATGCATTACGGTTCTTTAGACGGCGTCTAAACCGATTATTTTGGCCTAGGAGAGCTAGAAAGCTAGGGTTGATCAAGCTAAGGTGCGAAACTAACCAGTGACGTCAATGCTGGAGTGATTCGTGTGGGTGGAGAGGTTTATATATCTGGCTAGATTCAGCTAGATTATTAAAACCGATGGTTAGAGTTTTATTTATTTAAACACATAAATATTGGTACAAGGAAACACCAGATACATATGCGCCATACAAATCTCAGTCGATTTGCTTGAGGGCTGTGATACTGCCCAGGTGCCTAGACTGAAGCAGGTAGTTTCCTTAGGGGACCACACCCGGAGCCTTTGACCGAAAGATCTGATCCACAAGGCAGTGGAGCATCGTGAGGAGATGCAGTCCTATGGTAGCCGTTGACCAGCAGCAGGTTCATTCGCCATTCGTTCCATCAGGATACTGGAGCCCATGTGCACCATTGTTTTGGAATCAGGGTTTTCCAACTCCCCTAGGTGGACCCTCCGTGTCCACCAACCCGGTTAAAGCGCCGGACATTCGCTTTTCGTCCTCTCAATTTCGTAAACAACACCCCCGCCACGAGAAGGCAGTGAGTAGGTCTTCTCTGACAGAGGCTATATATTCGCTGGCCATGTGAGACCATTTCGAGAGGGAGAGCGGACTCTCCCCACTCTCGACCGTACCAGGGCATTTGGGTGATATGGACCGATGTTTAGATGTACTATTTCCCTTTCTCCAGAACGTACGCTTTAATACTATCTTATACTTCCTAATGAGCTAATTCATCAGTGTTACTGGAACCATACTCTCTATATTTGATATTTTTAAGATTATAGACACTACTATCGCTTTAAATTTATCGCTATGGCTAAATACAAGAGACCCACCATTTTTGAATCATTACGAATATATGTAAACTATGCAATTTGAGTGGTTAAGAATACCCAGATAATTTGCAGAATGTAAAAATAGTACTACATGGAAAAATCTCCTTTGAGACAGTAGAAACAAAATTAACATCGAAGCGGATTGTACGCAAAAGTAGCATACTTTCCAGTATCACTTCTAAAATTCACAAGAATAAAACCAAGCTATGTACCAGTAAATATAAAAATTATTGCCAGTCATAGATCAACTTCAATAATATAATGAATCCATGGATAAAGAACGAAAACACTATAAATCACGTTAGTATTATGCACCCCTTATTTGTAATTGAAATGGTATGTTCAAACTGAGCTGTCAAAGCTTTGTCACTAGTGACTACTGTCCATCCATCTTCCAAAATAACAGGGACTGCGAAACTTGTATTCCGTCTGAATTTTAATCCAAACTTGTTGGGAGGAAGAGAGATACACGGTTCGACGGTGAACGTATGTCCAGGTAGCATACGTGTAAGTGGTTGGGAAGCTATTTCATGGATTGAATGTACTACTTTTGGCGGTCCATGCAAAAATGGGCCGATTCCATGTCCACATACGTCTACCACAACGCGGCACTGAAAAGCATCGGCGCATTTCGTGACTGCTTCCGCAATAGATGTATAAAGAGCATTTGGGCCGCAAACACTGATACCAGCATCACGGCACTTCTGAGCGACAGTGCACAAGTAGACAGCAGTTTTTATCCGTGCACCAGCTTCCAGATCACAATAATCAGAGTGACTATCCACACCAACTACAAAGGAGTGACATGCATCACCATGGACGTAACCATTATAAACTGATATATCCACAGACAAAATATCACCCAGTTTTAGTATTTGTGATTTGTTTGGGATTCCATGACAAACAACTTCATTTACCGACGTGCAGACCGACCTGTATTAGATAAAACACATTTAACAGATTAGACAGCTAGTATAGCCATATTTCGTTAAATAATCGGTAAAATGCAGACTCGGATAAAAATGGAACCTTTATTAGTATCAGGTAGTTTCTCATATGATTTTGAATAAACTACCTCTTGAGACGGAGATCCATCTTCGTCAGAATATTTCTATTCTACTTTCAATATACGAAATAATTAAAAGCACACCAAGTGATATGGATATTTATGCTGACAAGTTAAAATCTATTCCTCCAGCAAACTATTTATGGAAATTAGCTGTTAGAAAGAGAAATGTAGTTGATAATTGAAAATAAAATTTACAAATAACAAGCTTACTTTGGAAAACCTTTATATCCTAACGGCGATGGGTATACCGATTTACTCAGACACTCATTAAATACGAAATCATCGATATCCTGAGTAGATAAACCCGGTCTGATGAATTTTTCAAGATCATTAAACATCTGGCGGATTATAGAACCTGCTCGTTTACATTCACTAATATTACGATCACTCTGCACAGCTATGGTAGATTGCGTTAGGTCGACCTCGTTAGTAATGTATGGGGGCAGTGGGATATTCGATGGAATGTCACGGCCACAAATATGAAGGAAACGACTGTGGATTTTCAGTAGACCACGAAAGAGAACCATCTGGATGGAATCAAATTTTCATTTGTTAAACAAATACTGTGGGTTTAATTACACACTAAAAACACAACAATACGACCACAAGTGGCTTTAAACCCTGGAGTTTGATTAACATGTTAAAAAATACATCTAGTTGCAAAAAATGAGGATAGAAGGAGGGAAACACGATCCTGAGGCACGACCAAAAAAGTCAGCTATAATCAAACCATATCAACGACCTTGAACTAGTTATCGGCTAATCAGAAAAGTGTTCAGGTCCGAAACAGATTATTACAAAAATGGTAATAAAACTAGATTGAATAAAAAGTCTCGTCATAATTAGCGATTATATACATTTTCTACGTGTGCTATACTGACGGCTTTTTAAATCTCTTATCGGATCTTCAAATGGTTCAAATGGTTGAGGACGGAATAGAAGAAGCTATGCTTAACGGGCTTCCATGTCTAGTAGCAGTGGATCACCAATACCTCCAGGCGAAAACCTAGGTATATTAACGATAGTAGAAAAAAAATGAATTTGGTAAATCATAATAATATGTTATCCTTAGTCCTTAAGAATAAGTCAAGTTTCCTCTTAAAGGACTCCTGGGAAGTCGCTTGGACTAGCTCAGTAGGCAGCGAATTCCAGCGTTTGACAACTCTTAAGGAGTAGAAGTTGTGTCTACAGTCTGTTCTGCTATGTTGGGTCTCCAGTTTCTGGGTGTTACCTCTTAGATTAGTGTTGTGATTAAGCTAAAGAAGATGTTTAAGGGGATGACCAGAAGCGTTAAGGATACTGTAAGTCATAAGAAGATCACCTCTAAGACGCCTGTAATCTAACGGGTAAAGGTTAAGTGATTGGAGGCGCTCTTCGTAAGGTTTGAATTTGAGTCCCCGAACTGATTTCGTGGCCCGACGTTGGATACGTTCCAGAGTGTCTTTATCCTTTTGGAGGTTGAGAGAAAATACTGTTTCCGTACTCTAAATGGGGACGAATAAAACTGTTGAAGATTATGTGAGAGGTTCAAACTGGCCAAAAATGCGTTTCAATGTTACCAGTGAAAGGTTTGCTTGAAAGGCGTTTTTGTCATAGTTCGCATACGACTTCAGGTCGTAGGGTACCAACACTCCTAAATATTTTTCGACTTGGAAAACTTCTAGAGGGGAGTTACCTAAGTTGTAACTATAGTCTGCAACATGTCGCAGATGGACTACTTTGCACTTTGAAGTGTTGAAGGCAAGTCCGTTGTCGTCTGCCCAACTTTGAAGTCGAGTCAGATCCTCCTGAAGTACTAGTATATCATTATGGTTACGTATCTCTCTCTAACGTTTCACAGCATCAGCAAAAAGCAATAAGTCAGATGAAACTTGTTGAGGAAGATCGTTAATGTAAATCAAGAAGAGAAGAGGTCCTAGTATTGAGCCCTGGTGGACCCTACTAGGACATTCCATAGCCTGAGAGAGAGTGAAGTTAACCTGACCTTAAAATGTCGGTTTTCTAGATATGAAGTGAGCCAGTCGATCAAAGGGGGTTTGATACCCAATCGTTTAAGTTTATTGATAAGACATATGTGGTCGACCCCCACCAAAAGCTTTTGAGTAGTCAAGGTAAATGACGTCAACCTTCCCCTTGCGATCAAGGATGGTTGTCCATCTATCCACCGCAGTCAGCAGGTTGGTCATACAAGAATGACCTTTTCTGAAACCATGCTGTTGAGGTGAGAAGAACTTTAAGGATGATAAGTATTCTTGTATACCGTCGTATATTAGTGATTCCATAATTTTAGAAGGTATGGAGAGAAGAGCCACTGGTCGGTAGCTTGAGGGTTCACCGCGTCGACCTCCTTTGAAAAGTGGTGTGAAGTGAGTCAGCTTCCAAATTTCCGGTAGTTTGCCTCTGCTTAGCGAGTGTGTAAACATCACGCTATCGCATATAACGATATTAATCATTGTTTTTGTACTTTTTTGCGTTGCAACTTCTTGTTTTATCCTCATAATGTCGCCCATTTGGATCAAGACGATAGCGTCCTGAGGTTTTCTCTCCATGTTGTACTAGTCTGAAAACATCGAAGCCTGGTCCGACTACGCAGAAGCTGACGACATAACGGCCTGAAATGCATGGCTATTCATAGTAGTTCCGCGGTAACCATGAGAGTTAGCCAGATATGTTACACCTGAAATGCTTACTTATTGTGTCCCGGGCAATCCAAAACCTGAAGTTATGCCACCTTAAAAGGGGTTGCGTAATCGTTCGCCGAAATTTTAGCACACTCTTCCACAATGTAGATTCGGGACATGATTCAGTAACAGGAAATTCGTTGGTGATGAAAGAAGAGACTGACCAAAAAACCATCAATGAAAGCATTTATAGTAAGTTATCCCACCTATCACTCCAAATCAGGTCCAAGCCGTTCATATTTTGTGTCAAAACAACGCACTTGATAAGCCAGCTTCATCTGCAAACCTGAATCGGTAGATTGACAAAAAGTACGACTCCCTTTTTTTCAACAATTAACCAGTCCATATTTGATTACTTGAGGCCTTCCCCTCGGTTCCACAAACTCGTACACAAATTTTAGTTGCTTGTGTGTGGGCAAGTGGACTAGTTCGTCAAGGACGTTTTGCTTCTTTGATAAATAAGATCCCCGAGGTCTTCTGAAGACTGCCTGATGTGTTTCAGATTTGATTGTTCTAACATTTTGAATAACTCTCTAGGCTTTATAACAGCAATGCTATTAGCTCATGCATTTTCGTGCAATTCATATTTATTATCTGTACTATTAGAATAGTTCCTTATCTTACAACAGTGTTGAAAATGTATCTGTCGGTAAGGATGGAGATCATTTGCAGCTGAAGTCACATAAGTTTGGATGATGTAAAAAATCACCTTTTATTTTTATCAACCGATAGAAATCTCGTAACTTATTAACTGAAGATAATTATTTTTCCTCATAGGCAGTTGTGCCTCTTGAGTGCTAGTAGTGAACTTCTGTCCTGTACCACTTTCTTCGTTTCAATTTTGAGTTCGACAAAGAGACTACAGATTTTACAGTAGTATCCAAAGAATACCCCACTCACCTAATATAAATTAATTTGAGTAATATTCACATCTCATCTCTTGGCCAACAGTATCTGGGAACAGCTATGGTAGTTCATATAACACATCTAATTTTGAATAATGTAGCCCGCAATCTGACCTACTAAAACGCCAACAACCATTCTTTTTTACTCTAAATCGTGATCCATTTGTTCAAGCTACTATTAGACGTTTTCAAAATTAAGGACCATTCGTACACCCAATGTTTTTAAATACTCTGTCATTTTGTGGCAAAGGTTAGGTATAGTAGTATTAGGCATGCAGAACTTGACAATACTATCGTGACAATACATTGTTACAAGCTGATTTCAAAGCTAACAAGACGAGAAGTAGAGAGTAATGTACTGGAATGATAAACTTAACCGTTAGGCAGGGGTAGTAGGGAGTTTAATACTCAAGCCACGAGATTAAGTGAGGTTGAAAAACCATCATGACCACACCACTTGTTATCAGACGAACAGTTTCTGGTTGAAAATGTCCACTTCCAAAGAGAACAGACGACTTGGTAGTCATTTTTACTGTAGCCAAAAGTAATATATTCTAGAGACAAAGGCAATCCATTGAAAAGCTTCAATCGTTTAAACTAGAGAGCCATGAACGAGTATTTCCAACACACTTCGTGTCCACAAGAGTAATGAAGGCTAACGGTGGACAAGTACTGAGAGAAGAGAGATAATATTCAGAAATTCGTTCCAGGCGGTAAGTGTCGAAGAACTATACCACAAAGTAGGATCATATCCTGGATAAGGTGAGGCGCGAAACCTTTTCCTCAGGGCAGAAAAGAGAGTCTGGAATAGAGTATAAGTGTTCTTTTAGGATTCAGACCACATATCTAACCTGACATTGAGAATTACATGAGACTGTGAAAAGGAAAGACACGAGAAGGATTTTTAGACCAAGATAGTGGTTAAAATATGGCTAAGGCAGAAAATTCTCTTTGAGACGAAGTAAGCAGTCAGGATGCTACATCCGTCCCATATTCACAAGGCAGTTCATGAGGACGGTGTTGCTTGTTTTGGCACTCACTAAGATCTCCCCAAAACGTTAGAAAGGCCGAATGCCTCACCTTTTAAGGATGTAAAGGTATTAAAAACAGAATGCTTGAAAACGCTTTTATGCAAGGACCTCACAGCCAAACAAGTCAGATGTCGGGAATGATGAGATGAAAACACTGATTTAGAAACTGACCGATGTGTTGATGAACTTGTAATCTTAGCTGACAAGTTATAATAAGAGTTAGGTGGAATAGACTACCCAGACGTGATCTAGTTCGGATCTCTAATATCTGTCACAAGCATGTATAAACTGATTGATTTTATTCTGCTCGTTTCTTGTCGTTTCGGTGTGGTTCTAGGTACTTGTTAATGTATGCCTAATGGAACGCTTTCTGTTAGGAGTGTCTTCAATAAAGTTAATGAGGTCAGGATCAGTGTCAGAGATCTACAAAGCCGTTTATATTGAAGATTTGTTTACCGCTACTGATGATGCAAGAAATATTCAAACCGTCGCTAGCCGGTTGTGCAATTGCCGTAACTATACAAGGAATAGGAAGAGGCAGTAAACGATCAGAAAAAGAATATTTAGATATGAACGACACATTTCGAAAAGCATGATGTGGTTTTGGCAGAAATAAATTCCATGCGTCAGGTTTGTAGTGGGATCGATCCATAACTGCACAATCCTCAAGGCTGAACACAAGATAACTGGAAAAATAAATGTATTCAACACCTAACGTGGATAAAATACCAACAACCAAGAAGACGGGAAGAATTTAATTCATCAGACGGCATGATTGAGTATTGCAGGCGTGGTAATTCGGGTGTGACTTATCTCCTTGATTCATATTAAATATAATGTTCCGTCTCAAGCCTTAATGTGTTTTCCATCATATGTTGGTGGTGATTCGTTCACTTCCTTTTTTAAAGGGTTTATACTTGCTATCATTTTAGATTGAACGTTGAAAAGTTTTGTATGTTTGAACAGCTTACCTTGCGATCCACTGTGAGCCGCCCACTAGCTACATAAAGATCTATCCGCTACTAATCCGGTTACTTCTACCACCATGATATACAATGATCAACAGGACTGAAGGGGCTAATCATCATGTTTCATAAAAAGAACCCCTCTTGGACCATTTATTTCAGTGATTTTGAAAAAAACCTTCCGTACAATATTAGTTCACCAGTCTTCATGTACATCAATAATCCCAAAATTGCAAAAATTGTGATAAGTAAGAAGAATGTACTACTTTAAAAAGAATTCACGCGATTGAGGAGTTAAACAGAAGAGTAAATAGTTTATTTAATTCTTTTGACAATTGTCTTTGCTT